GTAATAAAAATGATAGTAATGATAATGATAATGATAATAATAAGACAAATGATGATGATAATGAAAATAATGGTGATGATAATTTTGATAATGATAATGATAATGATGACAATAATGATAATGATATAATTATAAAATAGTAATGATAATGATACCAACAGTAATACTGATAATAATAGTAATAATAATAATGATAATGGTAATAATGATGATGATAATGATCATAACAATAACAATAACAACAATAATGATTATTGTAATGATAATAAACATTGTTATCATCATAATTTTTTTCTTTGGTGTTCATTCAATTATTCAACCATTCATTAGTTCATGCAGTAGAACTTTACCGATTAAATTCAAAGTCCTGTTATTTTGAACAAAGTTACTATTCAGTGAACAAACAAAACAACTGGGACATCTTTACCAAATCCCAGATCTTATGTGTATTATTATCGATAATGGCTTAATTATTCGTGGCCGGTATGAGGTAGCAGGTAGGAGGAGTAGCTGGGTAGTAATTAGGTACGAAATGCCATGTATAATTAGTATGAATAATTAGTGGTGGAGGGGGAGCCTATTTTGCAGCTTGTTTGTGTGTATGTATGCGTACAAGCATACATACGCGCTGTCACGCACGTACATATACATGCACATATACGCGGACGCACATACACGTACACACGCATACACACACACAAACACACACACACGCAAACACACGCACATGCACAAACACACACACATACACATACGAAACACACATACACACATACACATACACAAACACATACACACACATACACACACACACAATACACACGACACACGCACACACAAACACACACACATACACATACACACACATTACACAACACACACACACACAAATACACACAAGACAAATACACACAAGACAAATACACACACACATACACACACACACAAACAAACACACACACATACACACGCACACACACAAACACACACACACAAACGAACACACAAACAAACACACACACACGCGCAAACACACACAATCACACACACGCACATAAACACAAACGCACACACACACACACACACACACACACACACACACACACACACACACACACACACACACACACACACACACACACACACACACACACACACACACACACACACACACACACACACACACACATACGCACACACGCTCTCTTGATATATGTTGTATAGGGAATAAAATTTTGATGTTTTGAATTCAATGTTTGAATAATAATGAAAATGATAAAAATGATAACAATAATGATAAGTAGAGGAAAACGAAAAGAGAAAAAATATGAAGTAAAACAAAGTAACATAACTGAAATAGACAGATAACAATAACAAAAAAGATGGTTAACAGAGAGAGAGAGAGAGAGAGAGAGAGAGAGAGAGAGAGAGAGAGAGAGAGAGAGAGAGAGAGAGAGAGAGAGAGAGAGAGAGAAGAGAGAGAGGGAGGAGGGAGGGAGGGAAGAGAGGAAGAGAGGAAGAGAGAGAGAGAGAGAGAGAGAGAGAGAGAGAGAGAGAGAAGAGAGAGAGAGAGAGAGAGAGAGAGAGAGAGAGAGAGAGAGAGAGAGAGAGAGAGAGAGAGTAGAGAATATAGAGAAAGAAAGAAAGAAAAAAGAGAAAACGTAAAATAAAACTGAACACTCAACCACACAAAAAAATGCAAAAAAAAAAAAATCTCGACATACCGTGACTTCTCTCAACAGAATCTTTTAGAAGCGCTATCCTCTTAGTGTTCAAGAGAGGTTCCAGTAATCTATATTTGGGCGTGTGAGCCGTTGAATAATGGCACAGGGTGGGATCTCTTTCTCACGCTGGAAGTCGATGTTCTTTATAAAACAAATGTCTCCGGTTTTTTAAATTTTTTAGTATTTTTGTGGGATTTTGTGTGTCTGTTCGTCTATCTGTTCCTGTCTGTCTGTCTGTCTTTATCTACTTGCATATTAGTGTGTGTATGTACACATCTTTTCAGACAATAAAATCGGTCTGTTTCATTCCCTCCTTTCTCTTTCTTCTCTCTCTCTCTCTCTCTCTCTCTCTCTTCTCTCTCTCTCTCTTCTCTCTCCTCTCTCTCTCTCTCTCTCTCTAGATGGCAGGCAGACACAAACAATATGATCATATATAATTTTCATACCACACTAAAACTATAGAAAAAAATGATACATAACACACACACACACACACACACACACACACACACACACACACACACACACACACACACACACACACACACACAATATATATATATATTATATATTATATATATGCATATACATATATATATATATATATATATATATATATATATATATATATATATATATATATATATATATATATATATATATATATACTATATATATATATATATATACTTCATAAAAAGGGGATAAGAAAAAATAGAAGATACATATGGCGAATCGTAGAAGAGGAGAAACGATGAATAACGCAGAGGGAAGGAGAATAAAAGAGGGACAGTTTTCGAGAACAGATCCAGTGGGTTTCTGCCTGGTAACTGCACCAACAAAAGGTCATTGTTATTCATCTGTGAAATAAATAACATCTTATGCGATGAACAATCCCCCTCGTTCTCTAGATTAATGGAATAGAAGAACACATCACAGTGATAAAGATTGTAATATGGATGACGGTGCTAATTACAAGAACTACTTTAATTGTAATGACATTGATGATGGTAGAAGCGACGATGGTATGATAATGCGAATAGAGTAATAAAGGAATATCGATAAAATACGAAAAGTATGATAATGAATAGACGAATAAGTAACTGTAAATTACTGTTGTTACTGGTGGATTTGTAAAAAAAAAGAAAATAAAAATGTTATATGTAAATCAACTGCGGTTTTTGGCTGATACTTTTATATTTAATTGTCAGTCGGATTAATATCTTAGTTGAACTTTACTACGGCGAAAGGTCTCAGATAACATGTGTTCTGTGCTATTCGGAATTAAGTTAGATTTCAAGTTGTGTGGTTATGTATCTTATTCGGTCTGTTATTTTAATTTTTGTTGGTAACTTTTGTTTGATTGGATTTCTTTCTTTTTCGTTCCTTATTTACTTCTTTATCTTTTTTTTCTGTTTCTTCTTTTTTGTTTACTACTTTCTGTTACTTCTGTTTTTATTTCTATTTAGTCTGTGTCTAGTCTCTCTCTCTCTCTTTTTCTTTCTCTACATATCCTTTCTTTCTCAAGATACCATCAACTCTCTTCTTCCTATACTTCCTTCCCCCTACACCCAACAGACTCTCTCTCTCTCTCTCTCCCTCCCTCCTCTTCCTCCTCGCTCTCACTCCCTTCCACCTAACCCTCCATTCACCCCTATCTCCCTCCTCCTCTTTCCTCCCTTCCCTCCTCTTCTTCTTTTCTCCCACCCTACCCTCCACCCTCCTCTCCCCTCCTTCTCTCCTTCTCTTCCTCTCTCCCACTTACCCTCCATGCATCCCTTCCTCCCTCCCACATACCTTCCACCTTTCCCTTCCTCCCTTCTCTTCTCTCCCCTCCTTCCTTCCTTCTCCTCTCCCCTCCTTCCCTTCCTTCCCTCCTCTTCTTTCTCCCTCCCCCTCCCTCCCACCCCCCCTCTCCCCCTTCCACGAGCGAGAGTGAGATGCTGCTGACATCTGCTCGCTCTCTCCTGAAATGGCAGCGTGCATGATGCATGAGAGAGAAAAGGTCGCTGGCAGTCAGGTGGTGATGGCGCGGGGTGGGGTGGGTGGGTGGGGGTGATAGGAAGAGGGGGTGGGGGTAGATAGGAAGAGGGGGGTAGATAGGAAGAGGGGAGGGGGGTAGATAGGAAGAGGGGGACGGGATGTTGGTGGGTGATGGGGAGGATGTACAGGGTGGTATAGTGGGAGAGAGAGGGAGAGGATGTTTGGGGTTGGGGAGGGAGGAAGGGGGGAGGAGGTGCTGGGGGAGGGAGAGGAGAGGGAGGAAGAGGAGAGGGGGGAGGGGAGCAGGGGGAGGTGATGTTTGAGTGGAGGTTGAAGGGAGGAACTGGGGCTGGAGGGAGGGAGGGAAGGAAGAAGTGTTGCTGGGAGAGAGAAAGAAAGAGGGAGGGCGGGGGGGGTGGGGGGTGGGGTAAGGGACAGGTAGAGGGGTGGGGAAGTGCGAGGGGGTGATGGTATATTCAGGGGGAGGGTAGGAAGAGGCGGAAGGGGGAAGAGAGAGGGGGGGGGAGGCAGTGTGGAGTCTGGTTTCCAATCGAATGACCTTTTCTCTACGCCTCTCTCTCGTCACTTTTCTTTCGGTTTGTCTCTTCTATCGTCTCTTCCATCTTTCTGTCTTGTTCCTTTGCCTCTACTCTTCTCTCTGTCTGTCTTTTTTTGTTTTTCTGTCTGTCTGTTTGTCTTTCTGTTGTCTATTTCTCTCTCTCTCTCTGTCTGTCTGTCTTGTCTTTCTCTATTTTCCCGCTTTACTTCACGTTATGTTTGTCTTAATGATCAACACATTATTTTTTTGAGCAAGTAATTTGTCCTCTCAGTCGCCGACATTATATATGTGCGTGCGCATACATATTCATATAGATAGATACGTACGTACACAAACATGTACACACACACACACACACCACACACACACACACACACACACACCACATATGTATATATATATATATATATATATATATATATATATATATATATATATATATATTATATATATATATTATGTTATATATATATATATATATATATATATATTATGTTATATATATATATATATATATATATATATATATATATATATATATATATATATATATATATATATATATATATATATATATATATATATAGCGTGTGTATGTGCGTGTGTGTGTATGTCTATTCCCCAACCTTTATCCACAATTCCACATATTACCATCACCCATTATTCACCACCGCCACCATCATCCCACTCTTCGCAAACCACTAACCCCCGCCCCCTCCCCCCTCTCCCCCCAGGACGCCAAGGAGAAATTCGCGGAGATCGGCGCCAGGGCGGAGATCCACGACGCCCCTCCAGCCAGGCCCTGTACGACCGCGTCCGCACCTCGCCCCACGCCTTCCTCGAGTGGAAGACCAACCTGCTGTTCATCATGAAGGACGAGTTCAGGGCCACGGACAGCTGTGATTTCTCGCTGGGTGAGTGGGGAAGGGGGGGGGGGGGAAGGGGGTAATTTGTTTTATTTGTTTTAGCTTTTGTTGTTGTTGGTTGGTTGTTTTGGGTTTGTTGGTAGTTGTTTTGCGGTTGGATTTATGTTGGTGGATATCTGTGTCTGTGTGTTGGTTGCGTATCTTTGATTTGTGTACGTACTCTATATATATATATATATATATATATATATATATATATATATATATATATATATATATATATATATGTATATATATGTATATATATCTATATCTATATATCTATATATATATATATATATATATATTATATATATATACATACATACATATATATATATATATATATATATATATATATATATATATATATATATATATATATATATATATATATATATATATATATATATTATATATATATATGTATATATATATGTATATATATATATACAATATATAATATATATATATATATATATATATATATATATATATATATATATATATATATATATATGTGTGTGTGTGTGGTGTGTGTGTGTGTGTGTGTGTGTGTGTGTACACACACACACACACATATATATATATATATATATATACATATATATACATATGTGTGTATGTATATATACATATATAGGCATAGCTATTTAGATATACGTTGTCCAAATGTTTATGTATGTAGATGTTAAAGGCGGAAAAAAAACTATTTTCTGTTTTGGGCCGCTATAAAAAACAAAAACAAAACAATTAAGCACTGGCTTAAGCTTAATTTTTTTGCTTGTCAGTATTCAATATCTTCATAAACACAAGACATTATAAACCATAAAACATAAAACAGTTTAGTCCTAAGCAAGGTTCACAATCCAAGAAATCCAACAATGATTTATTTCTTTGTTTCCAATATATTTCCTATTTCTAAGTCATCTTCGGACAAAAACTTAGAAACATAAAATATACAATACCTAAAGACATGTACAAATTTACCCCTTAAAATCCAGCTATTTAATATTTCATCATGATTAATGTTCTCTCCACTTGAAAAAAATAAGATAAAATACATGAAAGAAAAAGAAAAAGAAAATAAATTGCTTCATATTTAGCGAATTTTACATAATGGAAAAGTCGGCAATGAACTCTCCGAAAAGTGGCGGATCCGAAAAAAAAACATGTAAACAAAATGAAGTTATATGTTCATGGTTAGATATACTTTACAAAGGCTATTTTGATGTAAAATGCATATTTGAATTATGATATAAATTAAGTGAGTTGAAGGTTCTGCATTTTGTTTATAGATTTGAACTTTGTTTTTGTTATAGATTTGAAATTTGAAAAATGTTTTGTTGTTAGTTTTGTAATTTTGTGTTTTTGCTTTATTTATTAACACATGTATTATTAGTTATTTTCTCTGCTGACGTGTAATCATATTGATAGATTTCATTTTTGTGTGTATTATGACCACCTCCTATCACTCTACTTGCTTTTCTCTACCTTTATGTTTATCAATCTGCCTCTTTTTCTCTCCCCAATTCTTCCCTCCTTTTCCCTCTCCGTCTCTCACTTTCTCTATCCACTACTCTATCTTTTTACTTTTTTACACATACGATTTTTTCCTCCCCCTCACTCACTCACTCACTCTCTCTCTCTCTCTCTCTCTCTCTCTCTCTCTCTCTCTCTCTCTCTCTCTCTCTCTCTCTCTCTCTCTCTCTCTCTCTCTCTCTAATATATATATATATATATATATATATGTGTGTGTGTGTGTGTGTGTGTGTGTGTGTGTGTGTACACACACACACGCACACACACACTCATACACACACACACTCACACGTACACACACACACACACACGTAAACACACACACATACACACATATATGTGTATATATATTACTCTTTCTCTCCTCTCCCCCTCTCTCTCTCTCATTCACTTTCTCCCAATTTCACTCTGCCCGCCTCTCTCTCTTTACAGTATACATTTCCTTTTCCATTACAGGCAAAGAAGAATTCTACCATGAAAATGTCGCAATGGGAGTTCCCAAAGACAGTCCCTTTATTGGAAGATTTAACAGAGAGTAAGTACCACTTTTATGCGTTGCTGTCTGCATTTCCCGTGTGTGTGGGTCTGTGTATGTGTCTTAATTGGGTAGTTCTGTGCAGTTGTGTGTTTTTCGTGTGTGAGTGAATGAGTGTCTTATTATTTTTTGCATGTGCAGTCAGCCCTATCTGTGAGGGTTATTTATGCAAGAGCCGTAAGAATGATACATATCTCATTATCCGTTCAAGCTGCCTGGTCAGGTAACATATCACCTATCATATTGTATTAAGAAATAGATCAATATTCAACTCTAATCTGTACCTAATGTCAAACCTCTTTCTCAGTGCTTCATTTTAAAAGAATTACTTTTTCTTTCTTTGTTTAATTTTATAGATTATTACTGCGTACTTGATTCATTTGATGATGCCATTTGATTTATATTAATGTTGATTTTAGAAATTGATGTCGTGATCTGTTTCTGAAAATGATGTTTATAATTTGTTTATGATTTTGTTATTCTATCTTGTGATTTATGTGCTTCTGTTTATTTGATTTGTGACTGAATTCATGATGGTTTCGTATACTGAATTTTATGAATCCTTTATGATTCTATTCATAATCTATAGCATATTGACAATTTCCTTTATTCCAATCATGATTCAGATCCGATTTTATATAATGGAGTTTATCATTTATTCATGATTCTATTCATATTGCTTATGATTACTTTACGATTTTATTTATCCCACTCATGATTTATATCCTGGTTTATTGATCCCCTGATGACGTATTCTCATCTGAATTAACCCCCCCCTAATCTTTACATCCCATTCTATTAAACCATCAACAATGTACTCTCACACCCATTAACTTCACCCACGATTTCCACTCAATTCTATCAACCCATTAAAAAAACCCACGATTCTTACTCGATTCCTCCCTCAATTAATCTCCTCGACCTCCACCTCCTTTCCACCCTCAATTAATCTCCTCGACCTCTTCCTCCTCCTCCTCCTCCTCTCCCTCAAGGATCAAGAAGATGCAGATCGGCGGCCTGATCCAGAAGTGGAAGCAGGACTACTGGCCCAAGAAGGACAAGTGCTCCACCACGGCCTACGGGGGTGGAGACGCCACTCGGACCGTGTCGCTGTCGGACATGCAGGGCTCCTTCTTCCTGCTCTTCCTCGGTGGGTGGCAAGGGGGGGGGGATACATGTTGGTATGATGTGTGTGTGTAGGTATATATGATATATATATATATAATATATATATATATATAATATATATATATTATATATATATATATAGTATACACACACACACAACACACAACACACACACACACACACACATATATATATATATATATATATATATATATATATATATATAAATGATATATATATATATATATATATATATATATATAATATAATATATATATATATATATTATATAATATAATATATATATATATATATATATATATATATATATATATGTGTGTGTGTGTGTGTGTGTGTGTGTGTGTGTGTGTGTGTGTATATATATAATATATATATATATATATATATATTATATATATATATATAATATATATATATATATGTATGTATGTATGTATGTGTGTGTGGTGAATGATATTACTAATGTTATCAGTATACTTTCTCTTTTATACTTTTTGAAAATAAGATAATGTAACAAATTCGCAAAGTGAACAAACTAACTGTTTTTTTCTCCCCTCTCTCTCTCTCCTATTTACCGCCACTCGTTCTTCTTTTCTTTTCTATCATCTCTATTTCTTCCTAATTTCACCCTGTTTTTCTTTATTCCTTCCTTCCTGTTTCTCAATTTCTTTCCTTCTTTCTCCTTCTCCCTGCTCATTCTTCCTCCCTTTCTCCTCTCTCATCTTTCCATCCTTCCCTCATTCCTTCTCTATTTTCTAAATTTCTATCCTCCTCCATTTCCCTTCTCCCTCCCTGCTCATCTTCCCCTTTTCGCTCTTCCTTCCTTCTTTCCTTCTCACCCCCCTTCATTTTATTCAACTATCTTTTCTCTTTTTCTCTCCCCCTCTCTTCCTTTCTTCCTCCCCTCGTCACTTTTTTTTACTCCACTATCTTTCCTCCCCCACCCATTTTTCCCTCCATCTCATATTTCTCCCTTCAATTTCTCTCTATCTCATCCCTCCTCTTTCTCCCCTCCTCCTCCTTCCTTTCTTTCTCCCCTCAATTTCTCTCCATCTCTTCCCTCCTCCTCCTCCCTTTCTTTCTCCCCTCCTCCTCCTACCTTTCTTTCTCCTCTCAATTTCTCTCCATCTCATCCCTCCTCCTTCTCTCCTCCTCCCCTCCCTCCTTCATCCCTATTTCTCTCCATCGCATCCCTCCTCCTCCTCGCTTTCTTTCTCCATTCAATTTCTCTCCATCTCATCCTTCCTCCTTCTCCCATCAATTTCTCTCCATCTTATCCTTCCTCCTTTCTTCCCCCTCTTTCTCTCCCCTCTCATCCCACCTCCTTCTCCCCTCCCCTCCTCCCTTTCTTTCTCCCCTCAATTTCTCTCCACTCGTCCTCCTCCTCCTCCCCTCACTTTCTCTCCATCTCTTCCCTTTCTTTCTCCCTCCCTTCCTTCCTTCCTCTCCCTCTTTCTCTCCTCTCCTCGTCTCCCCTCCTCCCCTCTTCCTTCTTTTCTCCCCCCTCCTCTTCCCCCCACTTCTGCTGTGCTGGCAGCCGTCGTGATCTCGTGCGAGTGTATTTTCCGGAGGCAGATCAAAAGCGGCCAAGGTTCGCCCACCAGCACTGGCACACTGGTCAAGCCGTTTATGGCTTAGGGACTCGAGTTCCTGCAAATATGATCACTTTTACGCCCGTTTCCCCGCCTCCTTCTCGCCGGCGCTCCACCAAGGCTTCCGTGTCTCACTTGCCATGAAACGATATCTGATTTTTAAATTTTTTTTTTGGGGGGGGAGGGGGTGATTTTTTGGGGGAGGTGATTTTTTTTTTTTGGGGGGGGGGTGGAATGTAGGAATGGAGTGGTATGGAGTGGGATGGGGTGGGATGGGTGGTGTGGAGTGGATTGGAATCAGGCCTTTGGATTGAAATTGGATTTATGGATATATGGAATCCAATCAGATAAACTTTTATGGGAAATGAAATAATATTGAATTTGTAGATCTATGGAATCAAATCAGATCAAGCCTGTTGAAGAAAATCTATGAAAATTATTGAATTTATGAAAAAAAAACAAGTCGATTCGAATTAAAAAAAGAAATTCGACGTAGATCTTAAATGATAGGCCTACTTACCAGTCTCAAGGCCTAATCCTCTCGCTTCTTTTAGACTGGGGGAGTCTCGCATGATTCGGGGTAGAAGGGGGGGGACAGGAGGGAGTATAAAGGAAGGGCTTGTTTTTGCCTGATCCCCTCCCCCCTCCCCCTTTCCCTGCTCCCTCCCTCCTCATTATCAACCCTCACCTGTGGCCCTTCACCCCCCCCCCCCCCCCACCAAGAGAGAGCATATGGGGGAGGAGGAATTTCCGGTTAGGTATGAGTATGAATTCTGAACTAGCACTTTTTCGCTCACTCTTAGCGCTAGCTTTACACACACACATCTCTCTTTCTCTCTCTCTCTCTCTCTCTCTCTCTCTCTCTCTCTCTCTCACACACACACTCTCTCTCTCTCTCTTCTCTCTCTCTCTCTCTCTCTCTCTCTCTCTCTCTCTCTCTCTCTCTCTCTCTCTCTCTCTCTCTCTCTCTCTCTCTCTCTCTCTCTCACCCACACCCACACACCAACGCTTTGATAGCTTAGTTTTGAATACAATTATTCTTGAAGATATTAAGATAAAATCAACTTTCTTGGACCCACATTCGTCAGGTCATGTCACGCTCTCGAGCCCAATAATTTTGACTTTGCATGAGATTGAAGAGCTAATTGCACGGATCGCAGGCTTGTTTTGCATGGTATCCTTAGTTACGAATGAGCACGAAATCACGGAATCTCATTTTGCAAGTGTTTATTGACGAATTTTGTTCATTGCAAGGTGAGTAACACTGCAATGTTGCAATATTGATAATTTTTCCCCTTTTTTTGCTTTGTGGTAAATATAAACATTTAGTTGTTTGTGTTGATATGTGTAAATAATAATTTTATAGTATTTTCTAACTCTGGACAAATTTGAAGAGGTTGTTATTCCGTCAGCAGATGTGTGTGTGTGTGTGTGTGTGTGTGTGTGTGTGTGTGTGTGTGTGTGTGTGTGTGTGTGTGTGTGTGTGTGTGTGTGTGTGTGTGTGTGGTGTGTGTGTGTGTGTGTTTGTGTGTGTACATGTACGTGTGCATGTGAGTGTTTGCATGTTCTTATTTGCGAATGTGCTGATCTATCTATTGTCGTGTGTACGTGTATGAATATGCGCATGTGTAGGTTCGTGCCTATGCCAACATTAGTACATTTATGCATATTCATTAATAACAAATAAAAATAACGAAAAAAAAATCCACGATACAAAAATATCACGTGACATACACTCGCTACAACAAATTAATGAACTGTTCTTACCTCCGCAATGCTGATTGAATATCAGATTTGTTTATAATTACAGGATGGTAAAATATTGAGTAATGCCAATGTCTTTACTTTCAAGATGACATTCTTTTTAAAAGATTTTTACAATTAGATTTTTTACGGTCTTTCACGATTCCAAATGTTTGTTTACAAGGACGAACAAAATTGTAAGAAAGAATGAAATATTAAGGTGAGAGTGAAGATAGCGATTGTACGAGTAACAACGATAAACAATCTTTTGTTTTTGCTATTATCATTGTTTTATATTATTGTACTTATTATCATCATCATTATTATCATTATTATTATTATTATTATTATTATTATTATTATTATTATTATTATTATTATTATTTATTATATATTATTATTATTATTATTGTTATTATCATTTATATTATTATTATAATTATTATCATTATTATTATCATTATCATTGTTATTTCTATCATTATTGTTATTATCATTATCATCATCACTATTATTATCATGATCATGATTTTGATTATGATTATTATTATTATTATCATTATTATTATCATTATCACTATCATAATAATAATAATTATTATTATTAGTATTATTATCATTATTATTATCATTATTATTACCATCATCAAAATACCTCTCAAGCATTAAAGAAAAGCTATATATTGAGTTAGTAATCGAAACATCATAATTTTATTTATCTTTCTGAGATAATGATATCCCTTGTAGATATACTCGATGTTAAGAAAAAAATGTGATTATCAGCCAATATAAATCCAATCCTTTCTGAATGACGAAATTGACATGAATCGAACTGCAGTGATAAACGAAGTGATGATATAAGATAGACGGTGATTATAATGCTAATGCGAATAACAGAAATGAATAATTCACTCGATCAGACCGAATTTACTGGATTCCTAAGCGAAAGATATGCAACAAATATTCATCTAGATGTTCCGAAACCGCCATTTTCCTAATGATTCTGAAATGTCGAAGGATTATTTGGCCGCAAAGCTTTCAAGCTGTTTGGCTAATACACGCCGTGAATAATGAATGAAAGCTTTTAACGTTGATACAAAGTGGGTTAAAACGAGTCGGTTTGAGAGAGAAAGAGAGCTAGAGAGAGAGAGAGAGAGAGAGAGAGAGAGAGAGAGAGAGAGAGAGAGAGAGAGAGAGGAGAGAGAGAGAGAGAGAGACGAGAGAGAGAGAGAGAGAGAGAGAGAGAGAAGAGAGAGAGAGAGAGAGAAGAGAGAGAGAGAGAGAGAGAGAGAGAGAGAGAGAGAGAGAGAGAGAGGAGAGAGAGAGAGAGAGAGAGAGAGAGAGAGAGAGAGAGAGAGAGAGTGAGTGAGTGAGAAAAGTCACCGATCAGATCACGTGTTCGTCTGAATTTGAAGCTCTCCGCAAGTTTGACTCCCAGACGAAGACGGTGACGGCCGTTTCCGTCTGACTAATTTCCGTCTTGATCTCGTGCTAATAATAAATCAAATAAGATGAGTGAAAGTAAACATGAGCTAATATTTTAGAACATTCGTATATATAATATACATTATATTTCTTTTAAATAACGTAATATGTATGAGGATGTTCGTGACCTTACTCCGATAGCGCCATGTTTGTTTATTGGGTCAGTCGATTTTCATACGGAAAGTTCATTCGGAAACGCAAAAAATTGACGGAAAAAGTGATAGTGTGATAGGTTGAGAGAGAGAGAGAGAGAGAGAGAGAGAGAGAGAGAGAGAGAGAGAGAGAGAGAGAGAGAGAGAGAGAGAGAGAGAGAGAGAGAGAGAGAGAGAGAGAGAATAAGAGAGAACGAGATAGATAAATAGACAGATAGATAGGCAGAAAGTGCGAGAGAAAAGAAAAACGCAAACCCAAGCCGGGGTCAAAGTCGCGCGTTCGAACACAGCCAGACGACAGATTTTCAGCGACTGACAAGCATTTCGTTAAAGTTTCATCACTACAAAGAACCGAAGCTTTACGGAAGAAAACGCTATGAATGTGGTAAATACGTCATGAAGGCGAAGACATGAAGCAGCGCAATAAAAAAGGAAGAGGAAGTGAGATGTGTATTGACTAACGGAGAGTATGTTGCTTATGAATCAACTATAAGTATGTCTGGAGAGGTGTGCGTATGTGTGTGAATAAATAATTTATCTTTCCCATCCTCCTATTCACTACGTACATATACATACATGCATACATATATATATATATATATATATATATATATATATATATATATAGATACATATATAGGGGATAACAACCTCATCTTTGCTTTATACAAGTTTATCTCATTTTTCCTACACGCAATTGCAACTCTTTTTATTTCTATTATCTTTACAGAAAAACTCCTAGCACTGACAACACACCTGTAGTTCACCTGACTACCGCTGCCACCTTCACGCCCCCCCCCCCCCCCTCCCCCTCCCCCTAACCACCGCTCTCCAGGCCCAGTCGCTAAGGAGAGCGAATGGTTGTTAGTTAAAGACAATGTAATTATGCACCGTTAGGAAGGCTGTGGATGTGCGTGTCTCAATCTGAGGGTGATGGATGGGCTGGTATAATTAGGTGTAGAGGGTCTATTTTTCTTCGTTTTGTTTCTCTCTGTATGTCTTTCTTACTTTTTCGTTTTTTTTTCTTCTCTGTGTCTTTCTATCTTCCTCTCTTTTCCTCTCCTTTTTTCTCGTTGTCTTTCCTTCTGTGGCTCCCTAACTTTCTCCCTTTTATTCATTCATCTTTTCTTTCTTCTCTCCCTTTCTCTCTCTCTCCTCTCACTCTTTTCTCTCTCTCTCTCTCCCTCTCTCTTTATTGGTCTCTCACACTTTCTCCTTCCTTCCCCCCCTTCTTTCTCTCTCTTTATCTTCCCTTGCCCCCTTCCTCTCTCTCTTTCTTAATCTTTCCTTCTCACTCTCTCCTCCTCCACATCCTACGTCTCATGCATAATAGGGTGTAAGAAATACTTGTCGTGCATACTTTGGCCGTCCTTGGTACCACAATATTACAAAGTAATGAATCTGACAGGACATTACGGCCCTTCTGTACCCTCAGATTCCGGACAATTATGGTTATATCAGTATACAGATATATGAAAGAAAACATAGCTATGTACCAATACACACAAGTACAGACAGACACACACACACACACACACACACACACACACACACACACACACACACACACACACACACACACACACACACACACACACATACACACATACACATACATTTATACATTTATACATTTATATAAAAAGCTGTACAAAAAATTCTCAAGTAAGGTGGGGGTGGGGTTGGGGTGGGGGGCAGGTGAGTCACTTTAGGTCAAAATGGCGGACGAGAGGT